ATACATGTTTTCTTGCATATTCATCATTAATCAAAGTTATTTCCATGGTTTTAAGCAGCAACTTACTCAAGAATCTTCTTTCAAACCTTAAGCATCGTCACAACTTACTAACACCTTAACCACGTAAATTACCCATAATCACTATAATAATACACATTAATTACATTTAATTAACAAGCATTTGGGCAGTTGCACAAATTAAAAATAATTACTATTGTTGCTACCTGATTTTTGACCCATAGTTTGATAAATTAAAAAAAAAGAGAGAGAGAGAGAACATGTGGCAATAACATAAAGCATTAAGGTTAATATTAAGGACAAGAGAACATGTGGCAATAACATAGAGCATTAAGGTTAATATTAAGGAAATAATATGTCAAGAAAATAATTTCTAAATGATATATAATTATTATAATATAAAATACCATAGATATAAGAATTGATTCATACTGGTTATGGAAAATAATCAATACAATATATATAGGATTTGTTTGTGCTAGTTATAGAAGACAATCTCTGCAATAATTATTGCAATATTTATTTGAATAGCACTTGTAGAGATTTTCTATATAAGTGAATATCCAATAATATGCAAAAGAGGAGAAATTTTTTTACATGAAACATTTTTAAGGGAAAAAAAAACTTAAAGCAACACAAGAAAAAAAACCCTAAAGAATCCTTCATCTCTTTCAAGAGAGGCAAGGTTACCCTTATGCCATCGGGATTTGGGAGGCTTCCGAAACCAGAGGCCACGACCAATCTTTCCCCCATATTTAACAGACCTTCCCGTTCCCTCAATAGATCATGCCCTTCTTCCATCAATATCCACCATCTCCTCCCAGCCTCTTCATCATCCTTCTGCCCACTCTATCATTTCGACACTTCCCTCACAAACTAGAGGGTGCCTTATTAATTTCCTTTCTCCTCATAGCTCCTCTCTCGACCATTCCCATATCTTTCTTCTCCCAGGCCTAGCCACAGATATTCCCTCTCTCTCTAGAACCCAAGCCACACAAAAACTTTCAGCACCCGCGTAGACCTTCTCTACCTACCCACAGTGTCACTCTCCCAAACACGAGCCTCCCTTCTCCCTCACACAGGTGCTGACTCCCACCTCTTTTATCACAACAGTCGCCCACTAAACCTCTCTTAGCCTCCCAGTACTTTTATGTACTAATCACTATCTTTAGAGATCCTCCCTCATTTCAAAGGTTTATAATCATCTAGACTCAATCATGAAAAGAAATATATTATGATCATAAGTGACTTTCTTTTTATCACCCATATTTATATGTTGAAATGCACTTTGAATCAATGGGCTTTAAAGCAAATTGTCCTCTGTCAATCCAGGTAGCATGTATCCTTTTAATATTTATCTAAATGCACCCATATGATAACATATTTCAAGATCCATAACCATATTTCAAAGGATAAAGCAAGCTTTTAGATATGAAGATACCCCTAAAGTGTGGTGTTTCTCTCAAATGTTGTTGGAGTTCATTGAGTAATCCACTGACTTCTTAGGTAACATTACCCTCAGTTGAAATAATTGTGTCTATTCTTCTTCCTATCATCAAGAGGTATTTGTCATTAACAAATGTTGCTTATAACTTTGATGGGTTTCAATGAATCATCATTTGATTATATGTTTCTTTGCCCTTAGCTAATTTGAATGTTGCTTGTTTTCTTTTTCACGGTTCACTACATTGCCCCCTTAGATGCTCAACTTTAAAAGGACGACTTATAAGAAGTGTCAATGTCATTTATGCTAAAAAGTTTGCAAACTTAGTTGATGTTTTTTTAAAAAAAATATTTCTTGTTCTGGAATTAACTTGTAAATTTCAAGGATTATGTCCATTCAAGTCTAATTTTTATAATGAAATTAGAGAGATATTAGTTTTAAAAGCATTTTAAAAATTAAGCTTTTTTAGTCAAAAATCCAACACACGCCATTCAATGCATGTAGTTCTTTGATTATCTTGTAATTTGAAAATGTAAGTTGATCTATTGTAAGATTAAAATAATTTTTTTAGCTCTTATATGGTTCTTTATGTCAATTTTAATCTCCTATTTTGGGTATGTCATTTGATGATATATGATAAGGTGACCTTATATTGATTTTAACAGCAAGAGGCTCAAGTCAAGAGTCGAGACTTTATCAAGAAAGCTCTTCATGTTTTGAGAGTGTCATTTACTGGTTTAAATCGCTTACTTGATTAAAAAGAACTTTTAAAAGCACTTAATGCAAGCTATGGTTCATAGCTTAAGAAAAGAAAATTTGTAGGCTCAACAGGTGTTTGAAAGTTTCAAAGACCTAGGATCACCATCAATTACTCACTTCACTCATTTTCTTTTGCTATATTTGTAATGACATATAAGCATGTCATACAATTCATTAAAAAGTCATGTTTCTTAAAATTGGACATGAAACTCCATTTCCATTAATCATAATCAAGCAATGGCATATAACCATGCTTTATATTTTCTAATAAATTTCCATTAATCAAAATCAAGTAGTGGCAAACAACAAGGCCATACTGCTTTATAGAACTTTTCATCAATAAAAAACTTTCAATGTTATCCTTTCCATTAATCAAAATTAAATAGTGACATATAATCATGCCTCACCTCTTTATAAGACTTTTAATCAATTAAAAGCTTTTAATGTTATCATTCAAGGTCAAACATTGACATATAACCATGCCATTCCTTTCAACAGGTATTTTCACATCATTCAACCAATGGTTCAAGAAGTTCCATTCTTATCAATCATTGGCATATAATCATGACATTCTTTTCATTGTCAATCTCATGATACTCCTTCATCTTTTTGCTATCTCACGTTTCAATTTGAAAAAAAGGTCTAGGTTCATTACCAATCATTAGCCTCATCATTTCCTCATTTTTCTTTCATTATCTTGGTAAAAGAATGACATATAATATTGTCACAAATCACATTTTCATCTAAGAGATCAATATTCTCTTAACAGAGGCCATAAAACAACTTCAACTTTTTCTTTAATAAATAACCAATATAATCATTTGAAGAAATTAGAGGATTTATCATAGTGATGTGGGTTGTTTTCTTCATGAATGGTTGTTGGCTCTATCATTTCTATGATCGATGGTAGGTGATGGCACAATGTTGTTTGATGTTGTGACAGGTGTTTGGTAGTTGGTGCCATTGATTGCTGATGTAATTTACTTTTTGATAGTGAGAATGGAAGAGATAATGCGATGAATTTTTTTAGTTTTTGAAGAAAAGAAAAAGGGTTGGTGAGAAGAGAAGCAATTGTTATCTTAGCTTTTTTAAAGATAGATGGTGGTAGAGAAATAAGATTGTGGAATTTTTTTGTGAGAAGGATGGTAATGTAGAGATTTTTGGGCTAGGTTTCCTTTTGTGTGTGGAGAAAATAGTTTTTTTTTTTTGTATTTCTAGTGTATTTTTTTTTCTAGTAGCTTTCCATTTTTAATCCTTCCTTTTGGCCAAGATTTTTTTACTATTTATAGGCTAAGTTTTTTTTTTCTCTTCCTTTTTTTACTATTTATAGGCTAAGTTTTTTTTTTTTCTCTTTCTCTCAATTGCTTGGTCTCTAAGCAACTTGGTTTCACTTCAATCCCTCATTTTTTTATTTCGTGTTGAGGTCTGTGTCTTATTTTTTTATTTTAAAAAATAAAGTTACAAAATAAACATATATGTATCGAAAATATAATTTTAAAAAAATAATTAACAAGAAAAAAATAGTCCAAAGTCAAAAAATTAGTGTGAGTTATTTTTTTTTGTTTAATTTTTTTTTGTTTAATTTTTTTACTTACTTTGTTTAATTTTTTTTTGGGAGTTATGCCTTTTTTTCAACTTTTATGGAAATATTTTGAAAAACAATGGTAAAAAATGGTTTACGATAACCCCTTTGTATTTGATACATGGTTTATTTATAGGCTCTTCTCTATTTATTTTTATTTTTTTACTTACTTTTATCACTTATTTTTTTATCTTCTTTTTATTTTTTATTTTATTTCTATATCTCTTTATATCATAATTGTTTTTCAAAGAGGCCTAAACTAACTCTTGTTATTTATTTTGATCTCTATTTCTTTATTTTCCGAAACCGCCCCTTACTATTTTTGTTTATATTTTATATTTTTCTCAATTCTTTAATTTTCTTTAAAATATGTTTGAAAATGTAGAGTCAAAATGGATTATTAAAAACTTTATAAAAAATAAACAGAAGAAAAATTAAAACTCTAATTTCCATATTTTTTTTTAATCAAACCACCAGCCAAGTTAAAATAATTGGAGTTTTATATATCCAGCAATAACTACTAAAGAATAAAGAATAATAGCTTGAGTTCCTCCTTGTATAAATATTATACATACATGTAAGAAGATTGTCCCTCGGAGAAGATGACTGACGAAGGGTCCCCCTCAGGAAGCGGCTTTAATTAAGAAGATTACACCTTGCATGATAAATAATTAACCTTATTAATTTTTTAATTAGTACTTTCTTAAAAAATCAGATAAACATTAATTACTAAATACATAAAAATGCACCAATGACATCCAATTTAAATGATTAAAAATTTAATATTATTGTTGAAAAACCTTTGAAGACCTCGATCGGTCATTTTATTTCATTTTATTTTATATTATTTTATTTTCCTGAAAACGATAAGAGTATAATAAGTATTTAAGGAGCCGTGAAGGTAGACTAGGAATAGGGACTCTACGGATATGCAGGACGGAAAATGTTTCCTTATGTCAAGGCACCTCTTTTGCCTTTCTCAATGGAGCTGGTAGCATGTAAACTATTATTTGGTGATGTTTGTATTTATACTTTAAATGTATTTTTAAAAATATTTAAATTTTTTATTTTTATGCAGTGATTTTAAAAAAATCAAAAAATATTATTTTAATATATTTTTAAATAAAAAATATTTTATAAACGGGTTTAAAAGAGGTATCGGCAAGGAATGATTCAAACTCTCACACTCTTTTATATAATAGGAACTCGAATAAGTAAATGAACACACAGCCAAAACCTAAGCACCAAACCCCTTCTTCTTGATCACTTCATCTTCTTCTATTTCTTTATTCATGTCTAACGAACATAGAGACCTCTACTGCCACACTCCTTTCCAAGAGGATCGCCGTGGTGTCAAGCCTCTTTCCATTCTTGATTCATCAACTTATAACAGTCCTGGACAAGGGTTTGATCCTTCTCCATACATGAGCTTTAGTGAGTGCTTGCATGGATCCCTGGACTTTAATTCACTTGCAAAAGCCTATGGCCTGTCGCCTTCTTCATCTGAAGTATTTTCTTCCATAGAAGGCAATTCGAAGCCAGTGGAAGCTAGAGTTTTAGGTTGGGGTAATAGCACCGATCAAATTCCAGCCACCCCTAATTCTTCACTCTCTTTTTCTTCAAGTGAGGCCGGTGGTGATGAAGACTCGGGAAAGACCAAGAAAGAGACGCAACCTTCAAGGCCAGAGGATGGTGGAGAATGCTCTGATAAGAAAGAGTAGGTTTTTCGTCATGTAATTATTATATTGCACTTTCTTAATTAATCTTGACAATATTCTTTAAATAGAGATGGTGTAACTCTTGTTGTGAAAACTATACATGTCATCAGCAAGGCAAAGAAGAAAGCCGAGCAAAGGAAAAAAGAGCCGCGATTTGCCTTCATGACCAAGAGCGAGGTTGACCATCTCGAAGATGGATATAGATGGAGAAAATATGGACAGAAGGCTGTCAGGAACAGTTCATATCCAAGGTATGCCTCTAATTCTAACACCCAAAGCACAGCAAGTAAACTGAAACATACTAAATATTTGGCACTGACAAAATGCTTTTGCACTTACTGATGATTGCCAAAGTTAAGGTCAAAGAAGAACAAAGATGATACTGCTTGTTTCGTCCCTTCATATTTTCTTTTATATCTTCAATTTCATAAGATGAAAAGGGATCGGTAATTATAGACAACAAGTTTACATTTGTGTATATGTTTGATCTGCTGTGTTCATGTGTTAACTGAATTCCAAGAGCATTACAGCTAGCTAGCTACACATGATTGCCTGAATCTCTAAGAACACTACATCGTCACAAATTTAAGAGAGTTCCAGATCAAATTCAGAACAAATATTATTTGTATCAGGAACTATTACCGGTGTACTACTCAGAAATGCACTGTGAAGAAACGTGTAGAAAGGTCATTCCAGGATCCATCAATTGTGATTACAACGTACGAGGGCCAACATAATCATCCAATTCCAACAACAATTAGAGGAAGTGCTTCGGCCATGTTTTCACACTCTATGCTAACACCTGCACCCCTGGCAACTGGGCCTAGGCGCTTCCCAGCTCATCTTCAAGGATATAATCTTGTTCAAATGCCTGCTGCCACAAGCAACAAAAATTTGGGGGCATATCCACAAAACGTTAATCAAGTTCCTGACTATGGACTTTTGCAAGACATTGTTCCTTCCATGCTCTTTAGACAAGAGCCTTGAGAAGTCTGTCTCACTGCACCTGTGCTTTAATAATCTTACCTTCCTGACTTGTTAGGTAATTAATACTTCTTTTCTTCCTTATATACCTACTTCAAATAGTACAGATTTGAAGTGAATATATGTGCTTTCTTTATATTAGAGATTGATTTGATTGAGAAGATACAATATTGGGAAATGCTTTCATGTATGTTTTTCAAGAACCTAGCCTTAGGAGGATTGCACGTTATATTTTTCAAGAACCTTTCCATTACTTTTTTTTTTTTTGTATTATATATGGAGGTGTAATTGATCTTTTGAGAATGAAACAATTTCCTAGTCTTATTCTCATATAACATATAAATTGAATAATTTAATGCATAGAATACTGTTAATCTATTGATGGGTATATTTGTCTATGGAATAAATTATAACGCAGTCTCTATAGTTTATTAAATCTGATTAATACATTCTTGCAGTATAAAACTAATGCTTCTTGACCAATATTAAATATATTCCTTGATTTAATTTTTTCTCCTACACAAAATACTTTTTAATAATAATCGAAGGAATTTTATTACAGTACTTGCCATTTAGAATTAATATGGCCATTAAGAAAAATTACAAGTTCAGGAATGAAAGAAAATTACAAAGAAGGAAAGGCAAAATAAACATAAAAAAAAAGCAGAAGAGAAGACTACACAAATACACTAGAAGATATAAAAGCCATGCACCAAGTCTATTCATCATTGGACAGGATGTCTCCTCTAATTGTTTGTACAGCAACGAATTCAACCTGTATATGTAAATAATCTGTCATTACTCTTAATCCAGGCTGATAAACGCATCAGAGTAAGAACGAAGCATGGCTTCAAATCTGGTGATGTATTGTTGAAAACTTTATTATTTCTGGCCAATCAAAGACACCCAGGCAGCACTAAAAGAGAGAATTTCTCATGTCTGCGTTGAAAAGTTCCTTAAACATTGGTGAATGGAACAAAAAGTTGTCTAGTGTGTCCGAAACACACCAAGTAAAGCCCCACTAGGACAGAATTTTGCACCATAAACACCAGCAAAGGAACAATGAATCAACATGTGATCTAAAGTTCACAAAGTACTTCTTTTCTAGTCAAAATTCCCCATATGTCATCCCTACTTCTCTTTCTTCATTCTCTTCTCAAGACTTTTTTGGAAAAAAATTGACAAAACAACATGTAATTGATGGAGGGACTAAATTATTGGAATTGAATTTTGAGTTTTAAAACTAGAGGATTGATCAATCAGTTTTGTAAGCTATACAAACTATGTTATAATGAATGAACTGCTTCCTAGAACGTCTTTGGTAGCCTGTAGGCATGGGATCGATGCCAGGTGAGTAAGTCCATGTGGGGTTCCCCGAAAAACAAGAGAAAAGAGCAAATCTATGTGGGGTTCCCGGAAAAACAAGGAAAAAGAGCAAATCTATGTGGGGTTCCCGGATCTTTTATTATATAATAATATTTAAAATAAATCGGAATCATTAAGACTCGAAACTCCTTCGCTTTCAATGTTTTTCCAATAGTTATTGCAATTATTTGTGGATTCGATGGCAAATGCAATGCTTTTAGTTTTGACGAAGGGGCGACGCCATTGTAGGTGGGCACCTGATGGATTATAACCATGTGTTTTGAATGCCAAACAATTGCTGCTCGGTGGCCTAAATAATGTCTGAAAACGTTTAGAGAAAAGAAGCATCAGTATGACTGTCAGTGGTCAGCTTGGAATTTGTGGTTGAATGGACACTCCATGTGGGGTGAAGAAAAGCGAGAAAAGTTGACTGCAGCGACCGTTGAAATTTGAAGTTGGAATAGGAATCTAGGGCAAAAGCCTCTCCCAATAGGTTCATGAAGACAGGTCACTGCCTAACTTGGGCCACATATCTTGACCGGAAAAAATTGCCATAGAATCAGATGAAGAAATTGGCTCGGACCAAAAACTAGGGTGATTCTTGTTCCATTCTCAAGATTGCGTCTGTGTTTTATTTAAAACATAGATGTAACCTATTTAGTAAAAATAAAATATATTTTATTGTATATAGATCTCATGTTTTTTCGCGTTTGAGATACAAAAAAAGAAAAAACAGTAAAATGCTGCTTTGTGCATATTGTTCACGCTAATTTTAATTAGCGTGAACAGTGTATGTGAACAGTGCAATAGATTTGCACTGTTCACTTGCAAAATAATAAACAGTGCAGTGAATTGCATTGTTCACACACTTTTTTTTTAAAAATTGTTAATTTTATTAATATTTAAAAAAAAAAATTATTTAAAGTAAATTAAATTAATTTGTATTGTAATGTGAATAATATTTTTTTCCTGAAAAATTAGTATATAATGAATTAAATTCACTCACACTATAATATTAATTTTATACCTGATAATACTTTATCTAATTTTATTACACGCTCACAAAATTATAAAAACTGTAGTTCTTATCGGCTGAATTTTGTATGTAATGAAATTATAAATAGTTTAATGAAATAATAAAAAATATTTTATATCAAGTATTATTTATTTCATAATGTAATAGGAGTAGTTAATTCTATAATATTTAAATTTAAAACCATCAATATTAATATTAATATATATATATATATATATATATTAATATTAATATTGATGGTTTTAAATTTAAATATTATAGAATTAACTACTCCTATTACATTATGAAATAAATAATACTTGATATAAAATATTTTTTATTATTTCATTAAACTAATTATAATTTCATTGCATACAAAATTCAGCCGATAAAAACTATAGTTTTTATAATTTTTTGAGTGTGTAATAAAATCAGATAAAATATTATCAGGTATAAAATTGATATTACAATGCGAGTGAATTTAATTTACTTTATACTATTTTTTCGAGAAAAAAAATATTATTTACATCATAATGTAAGTGAATTTAATTTACTCTAAACTAGTTTTTAAAAAAAAAAATTGTTAAAAAAATTAACACATTGAAAAAAAAACTATGCACGTGAACAGTATAATTCATTGAACAATGTGCCTATCATAGGTTGAAATTCTCATAAAAAAATAGTATTTTACTACTTTTAAAAATTAAAAAAAGTGGTTCTTCCAAAAATTTATGAAGCTAAAATTGAAATTCAAGAATAATATTATAAATTTATGAAAACTCATATATTTCATATAATGTTTTTTTGAATGATTTGAGTTTTGTGCTTTAGAAAATAATATAGACTTTTTTTTTTAATATCTTTACAAAAACCTGAAAATAGGAAACTAGTACAAGTTCTAAGATAGAAGATATACGCAAGTGAGGTTCTGGCCTAGCGGTGGGAGGGGCTTGTCCCCTTCCTCCGCACTTGGGTTCGAACCTCACCATGCACGTCTGTCACCCCCGCGGTGCCTTACCTGCTCACTGGGCTTGCAGGATGTTCAGTGGGCCGTGGGGATTAGTCGTGGTGCGCGTAAGCTGGCCCGGACACCCCACGTAAATCAAAAAAAAAAAAAGATAGAAGATATACATTCTCTTTCTATTGAAATTAAGATTCCTTCTAAATGAACTTCTTTAATTAAAAATACTTTTCAAATTAAAAAAAGAACATAAAGATGTCATGTCTAGTAATCTTAGAAAGATCTTTGAGCAAAATAATTATACTAATAAATTATTTTAGCTTTTTAGGAACCAATTAACAAATATAGAAAATTTTTAGAATCATTCAGAGACTATCGCTTATCATGAAATTGTTGTTTTTTGAAGATCTATTTTCAAATTTTATAAGATTTCATTAGAACTCTCTAGAAAAAAAATTAAGAATCATCTTTTTTAATTAAGATCTCAGGTTGCTTTTAATTCTCTACTCATTATAGTAAAAATAGATATTTCATGTTTATCTTCTAATTAAGATAAAATTGAAATAAACAAAATCAAACAAGAGTAGCTATTTTTTTCTAAAATGCATTAACCAAGGCCTATAACCCTAAACATATTTTTTTGAAGAAAAACTCATAATTATCCAAAATAAATACAACTCCAACTATATTTATGAATACAACCTAGATGGATTAGTTGAGTATCATGTTATTGGTTTACTCTAGGAAATTATTATGGTATCTAATGCCTACAAAACCAAAACAAGTATTTATGGTAGAGATATAGTTCAATTACTTGTAGTTAGCTTTATAAATTAGTTAAAAGGATGGTGGGACAATCTGCTCGTCTAGTTTGACCATAATTCTTGTCACAGCGTGACGTGTGGAGTCAAGAACAGTGGATCTGCCTTTTGATAGTGTGTGTTGAAAAGAGGGTTTAAGTATAATTATAAAGTTATGATTATACGGTTCAAGAGTTCTCATCTGGTATTATAGTTACTAGAAAATATTTGGTTTGTAAGAGTCCGGGTAAGGGACTGGTTGTGTAAGGAAAAAACGCTTCACCTCAATGCAGTAGTGTGACACGACCAAAAGATTGTATTCTCCTAAGTGCAGTAGTGTCAAAATAATAAATAACCCAGCAAAACCGGGGTCAAACCATAGGAAAGTTAATTGTACAAATTATAAATAACAACAATACAATAATAATAGTAGTAGTAGTAGTAATAGTAGTAATAGAACAAGAACAAGAACAAGAAGAAGTTGATAAGAACTTTGATATGGAACATCAATGTAAGGATTAAACAATGATAATAACAAATGTCAAGATTAGAGGATCCACTAATGGTATTTCAAGCAAATATAATATAAACTCTTATTACTCAAATGGAAATTACACATAAAGGAGGTTCCAATCAGATTATAAATTGTTAACATGATTGCATTAGTTATCTTATTCGAATAACATTAATATTTATAAATGTTGTCAGGTATTTATGATTATAACTTATGTTAACTATAAATCAAGTTCCTTTCATAACACAAGTGTCGGTTATACCATACAATTTGTGCTATGAAAGTGTCAAGCATTTGTTGTACCAAGTGTTGTAAAACATAAATCTAAATTAGTCATTTAACAAGCAAAGTATTAAAGAGTGAACAAGATAACAAATATAAAACATATTAGTATCAAACATTAAAGTCCATGTTAAGTTTACACTATACTTATTATTACACTATTATTGTAACCTTTTCACCTTTACATAATAAACTTAGCTAAATATAATGAAAGAAAAAAATATAAATAAATAAGATAAGAACATAAATAAGATAAAAGTTAACTAAGTAAAGGAAAGGAATTGAAAGGAATAAACAAGA